ACCTGGTCACTCGAGACCCTCTACACCTGAGGGTCCTTAATTTACTTCCGTGTGGAGAGATGCGTTCAGGGGCAATTACATCTCCCCCCGCACCCAGATACGATCAGAGGACTTTAGCTATTACTAAATAAATCAAACATACTCAATGTCGTCATCCAACACAACTGGCGCGTGGTGAGGCAGTCAAAGGCCTGAGGAGAGATATCCGACAGAATAGTGGAGTTGACTCTGCTCGGGCTACTGCCACCCACAACAGACGTATGGGAATTTCACTACAAGGGACTTATTTTATGAACCATCAATCTGTAAGAATCCCTGTTTTCTCAATACAGAGAGGGAGGTAGAGGTTTAGAGAAAGTGTCGGAAGTGATTTTTCGGTAGCCCCTTTGCGAAAGTCAACAAGTTCTTAGGAGATCGCATCTTTTTTTAATGGAGAGCGACCTTAAACAATGAAATAGTCGACCTTAATACACAATATCCACTTCCATTCTTCTGTAAGTTCAGTCATAACTATTCTAAGTCTTGGACTTTAACATTTACACCAGTGAACACAGTCCGTATTTTTCCGGTGTGTTCTTGAATTGTCGGTTAATTTCCAGTGGAAGTACGATAAACATCGGTATCGTTATCCAGAGTCTATATATTTTTTTATATTTTTGTACAGATACTTCACAAACGAGGTTTTATGGTTTGGTCTAGTGGGTAAGGATCGGTACGGAGTATAGGGAGCTAAAGTGAAGGACCAAAGTTTCACGACTAAACCCCATTATTTCGAAAATTTGTTTATGTTTAACTATTTTTTATTTTTTCCTCCCCGACTCGAAGTACGGCCCTGGGCCGATCGATGACAGATTTGGTTTATCCGCGGCACTTACTTTGCGATATAGTACCTAATTAGTTCCTAATAAAGACTTTGTCATAACCTCGAGTTCCGAAGAGGAGAGAACGGCCAAATATGGTGTTCCACTCAAGGAAAATAAAGGACGAAGAAGTGTGTGTCGAGAGGGTCATGTCCAATCGAGACTCCCAATCGCTACGATTACATTTTGTGGTTGGTACAATGTCAGGTTTGTCAGCCCGAACAAAGGACTATCGTTGCAAAGACTATCACGACACCCAGCGTGTAAAGTCATAATTGCAGTAGTAGCCTTGCGTTTAGACCTAGTCGAGGCAACGATAGGCAAAAATTCTCTAAACCCATCGCCTCCTTTTCTCTCTCCCAAAATAAAAGACTGGCGACGCACTCAAGGGGCTGTGTGGCCCCTGTGTATAAATACATATTTTCTGTAGTCTTTCGCGTAAAACGGTACTATACAGGAAATTCGGTACATTAATCTTTTGTAAGACCCCATTAAAGGGTAGTGGTTCGGTTTTTTTTTTTTCAGCGTTGTTATCTTGTAAGGACAAAACACTGTCAATAAAAACGTCAAATGTACAAAACTAAGAAGTGGCTCCGAAGACTCGAATTCCAAAGGTAGGGTAGTAATTTAACGTTTTCTCAAACCACAGTGACATGTTTGTTCCGACATGCTCGTTACTATTTAATCTACACGTTGATAGGAAAGGGTGTGCCTGGTAGTTCACTTCGATGGAATTGACTTTCGAGAAATAACTTCGATTTGACCTTAAAGTCTATTTACTTTGCACTTTATCCTTGTGACGTCCACCAGACTTACCACCTAGACAAACACTAACCAATTCAAACTTTCAACTTTTCAAACACCACAGACTTTGCGATTACACTATGTCATGTCCAAATTTGTCGTTGTCATGTTACAAGACATCGATGATAACGTGACGTCGAATATCAGGTCACGCCGAATATATACATGTGTAGTAAGTTCAAATCGACGACGCCGAAGTATAAGCCACGCGGGAATATCCAGGCTTTTTTAATGGCCATTACCGAAGTACGGTAAGGGACTCACTAAGGGTTCGGACAATTTATTCGAAAATTGAATGTTATATTGGGCATTTTAAACAAAAACGTCTCTTTATATGACATAATGGAAATATGTAACCCGGTTCCGGACATTACAGTAATACCATGTACGGTTATGTTCCCGATAAACTTACCTTTAACTTTAGTTACATCGTCCGTCCGATCAAATGTTTTTTTTTTTAGGACAAGTCTATCTCTTATGATTCACTGGTATATGTTTTGTTGTTTTTCCCTTCGGTTCTTATATAGTTTCTTCTGTCATGTGGCAGTACCGGAAAACACTGTGTTCCTATGTCTTCGTATTGTAAAGTCCATAAACAGAACACTGTTTAATGTCCTGTATGGTATATAATCAAATGTATATAATATAATGTATTCACAAGTCTCGTGTTATTATCTCGATTATTAAGAAGTGTTTGTTAGACGTGGCAATGATAAAGAAGGCCCAACACCACAGCACTTCCTGAGACTGCTCAGAAAGAACCATCTGAATCAGAAGCTGCTGGTGACCTTCTATCGCTCTACAGTTGAGAGCGTCCTCACTGCATCTCTGCTTGGTATGCAGGGTGCTCGGCTGCCTACAGGAAGGCTCTGCAGAGGGTCATTAACACGGCCCAGAGGATTATTGGCTGCCCTCTGCCCTCCCTGGAAGACATCACCAGCTCTCGCTGCCTCAGGAGGACCAGTTCCATCCTGAAGGACTCATCCCGCCCAGCCCGTCATCTGTTCGACCTGCTGCCCTCGGGCCGGCGCTACCGTTCACTGAAAGCCCGCACCTCCAGATTCACAAGTTTTCTTCCCATGGGCCATTAGGACATTAAACACACACAAATAACTCCCCATATCCCCACTTTGCAATAATCATGTTCTGTCTCTATGTATATATTTATCATATATATTTTATCATAATTGTATTTTATTCATTTTTTTATTTATTTATTTATTAATCCTGGTCATCTACATGACGATCCGAAGCTGTGTGCACTACTTGCTGGTCGTAACTGTCAGACCTTTTAATCTGTGTTTAATATTTCTGTTTTTAAATCACTCGCTGGAGCAGTAACTATAAATCTCGTTGTATTCTGTACAATGACAATAAAAGCTTTTGAATTTGAATTTGAATTTAAGCCTTGTGTTCAGATGTGAACATTGCTTGAGATGTTTTATCTTATTGTTTAAATTCACCAAGGACGGCTGTGCAAAAAAGATCGTGCTCTCATCCTTACAGACTGAGATGATGAAGAGCAGCCCTTGCTAGTTCTACCAACATTTGGTGTTAGGTAAGGACACAGATGGGACATTTCAAGCAGAAGGTGAACATTGAAGGATAACAGGACTGGAATCACCAGTTAGATATTTTTCGTCTATAACGCTGACATCAACGCCAAAGACCTCTCAAGCAGTTTACCATTTGTTGTCATCAGTGTTGTTTTTAGCTGTAAGTAAAACAACTCACACATGAATTGGGATTAAGGTGGAGGCCTTATTCATGTGAATCCCTGATTGGTGGTTCTCTAACTTTAAAACTATGAAGCGTGTGTATATCTGTGTTTGTGTGGGTCTCCCCTTCTTATATTTCCTGAATACATTAATCTGATTCACGCTTGGTAGGTATATTGTGCGGGAAGTAAATAAATTAGCTTTTGAAATTGGGTACATTTTGACACACTCAATGTTAATGAACTGAATAAACAACCGAAGAGGGCTCTGAGCTGCCAGATGCTGGGTATACACAACTGAAAATAAATGGTTGCCATACTGCGAGGCACTAGACCTTATTTAACACACGTCAGCACGGCAATTCAAAGAAATAAGCGGCCATTCAATGTGGCAACAGGCTGGAGAAAATTCGGTTTAAGCAGCAACTCATCCAAAGGAATATCCATTTAGCTATCATATTAATCCATATGAAAAAAGTATTGACTTATAAACGAATGCTTTTGAAGTGCCAGAAGGGTAACCGTAGGAAGCTCAAACTTAATTGACAAAAACAAGGTTAGAGTTGACTCGAGAAAATTCTTACAAAAATAATTGCTTTTGTCAAACTTCAAGAAGATACATAGTACAATTTGAATTTGATTTGTACATTGACATTTGATTTCAAGGTACAAATCAGTCTCATGCTACTTTTAAAATGATCACAGCTGTGACTCCCGCTCGTCTTTCTCTCTACATTTCAAAGTCTTGTTTCAGGCGTTTGTCACTTTTGCTAGATTCTTTCTTTTTTTTGTTCTCTTTCTGTCTCCAAACAATGACACAAACACTCTGCCTAGTCTATTCTTATCTTTGTTTGCCAGCGCATCATCTTATTTGTCGTTAAGTCTGCAAGACATGTGGACAGCACAGAGCTATTCAGGAAACAGTGAGAGGCAGAAAAATGCATTGAAGCAGTTTTTTCTGTGTCACTTTCAGCAGATATGACTGTGTACTTCAAAATGTAAGGATTCCCTGTCAAACATCTTCATTACTTAGTTCTAGCTTCTACAAAAGGCCCAAACTATTTCAGAATTGCTTCAATGTATGGTCAGGTTAGCTCATAAAATACAGTAACTCCTACCAGAAAAAAAAGACAGAATGTGAGCACAATTTAGTCAAAACATTTAAACGAAGAATATTTTAAACAGGCTGTGGAACCCTTTGTGAGAAATCCATTCCGAAAAATGTATAACATTTCACGGTGAATATATTGGCATTACTCCAGCAGCCTTGATTTATTCTCAGCACAGACCAAACCTCACTGCTTTCTAATGAGGCCCTGCTGCTAATTTATGACTCTGCTGAATGACAATATTATGATTAAGCATTCATTTAGAGGCTTACAATCTAAAGTAGGCAAAAAGGTGTCTCCTTTACAGTGCGGTCGGTGCAGACAACTTTTTTTAAATGGGATTCAATGCTTTCAAGGTTTATTTACGGGGAAAATTACCTCTTAGCTGAATGTGTTTAGTTAACCATGTGGTGTTAGTTTGCATAGTGATTGATCCACTGCCTGTCAGCATCAATGTGTTACTCTGTCATACTGTGATTGTGTTTGAATTACTAGACAGCATTTGCTGCCACATCAACAAGTCCTTCCAATCAATCCAAGACCATCCATAGGTTCCTTGGATGGATTAGGTATGGGGTCATCATTCTTCTTTCTACCCAGCTACATTTAACAATGGTAGCGATAATAACATGGCCTTGAGTTTGAATGAAATCGTCAATACCAACCCAAGATTTTCTGCAAGTTCATTTGAGTTAACTAATCTTTTAACCTGGACCACTAGCAGCCTGAACCCCAACCATAATCCTATAACATCCACATGTCATAGGCCTGATCCTTACATGTAAACCAAACCTTAATTTAACAATGTAAGGTTTATTCGGACCAGACGTTGGTTGATGGGAATGGAGTTCCCATAATGTAACTGTGTGAGCCGTTCAATCACATAAATAAGCTTAATACAGTATTTTAATCAGGCCAACATTTACATAACTTGCTTAATAAAGCTGTGCTGTGTGAATATCTCTGAAATATAACAGCTATACAGATGATATTATTTGCATTAGCCTTAAGCCCTGAAATATTAATATTGAGTTTTACTTTACGTCTTTTGCAACTTAGACACCTTGACACACAGAGGCCTGATTAAAATGTGAACACACTTGATTAAATCCCTTACACGTAACTGAAAGGGCCCTTGAAGGGATACAGAAGACTTCATTTCCATCTGGTTCACACACATCGAGTCATGAGAAAGTAAAGCACTCGCCTCATTATCTTAAAAAGGCAGGCACGAACTGAGATCTGAGGATATTACAGAGAGAAGACTGTGCCCTGGGATGTGACGTTCATTAGAGCTTCACCTGCCAGTCTGCCATAGTCAGCATATGTGTGAACGTGGACATGCATACACACACACACACACACACACACACACACAGAAAAAAGTTCCTATGTCTGATTGGCTGGGCGGAATGCAAACCACGCCCCGTCAAACTCCCAAAAAGTTTTGTGAAGCCGCCATTTTATTATTCTTGCATTAGCATGATTAGCATTAGCATTAGCCCAGCGCAGAAACGCAGAGAG